GTTTGTATAATACAAAAAACATCTTATACTTCATAAATATATATTATAATTGGCTTGAAAAAATTTTCATATTTAAATACACGTGTTAAGAGTTTGGGGTATTCTTTACACCCCGCGAGTAACGACGGTAGAAAAACAGGCGCGAGTGACCGCGGGTTAAATATGACCATTTCTTTTTAGTCGAAATCCATGATTTTTATCTTTTTTTCAAATGATTATTTATGTTCGAGTTTGGTTTCTGTGGATCTCTATATAAATATAAATGTCTGTTGTTTGTATAATACCAATTCAAACAGAAATATATTATCCAGGGTAGCTTGTTAACTGTTATATAAGCAGAGTTAGGAGTATAAAGTAGATCTCTCTTTTTAGAAGTTTAGAGACATGAATACTATTGGTAACTTTTTCAAATTATAGTATAAGAGGACCAACTTTCACGTAGTTGAAAATTCATTTTATTCGGTTTAGGAACTATAACAATCAGGTAAAATATTTTGAAGTTTTTCTGCGACAGTTAAATTGATATTTGAACGCTATCGATATTATTTTTCGTAGGAACCATATTTTCTTTGCTCATCGGGAAAGAGATTTTATAACGTGTCTTACCTGCATGCGATTGTGAAATGTGTTTCCTTTGAAGTATGATTAATTCTCTTGTTTTTATCATCTAATCCAGTCTTCAGTAAGCTATGGCACGCCTGTCATATATCTCACAAGGTACAATACTCAATGGCACGGTCCGATACTTACTACTCAGTGGCACTTTACATCTCTGTATAAATGAGCTAGTTTTTGAGTGGATAAAAGTTGATAATTTTGAAATACAGCTTGTTGAACTTGTATCTTCAGAATTATTGAAAGCAAACTATTAAAGAAATTAAGAAAACATATTAAAGTTAACTAGCTATAAATTAAGAATTATGTTACATTGTTGGATGCCAGTCATGGAAGGTTGCTTTGAAGAAAATAACATGTACTCTGTTTGCCACTTTTTGTTCTACTTATCTTCGTGAACATATCTTTTCTCATATGAAAATAGTCATTAAATAAGTTGGTTTACAACTCACGTTCAGAATCGTTTCAAATTGAAAGACACAAATTATACACTTGATATTGTAATATGTAGTAGAGCGATTCGGGGAAGAAATTCAGAGATCCAAGATTTGCCTCTA